TCATCATCATCCACCTGACCCTGGTAATGGGACACACCCGATATATATTATTGTTTTAAAGGATCCTTTTCGGCAAATCCAAGCAGAGCATGTTCACCTCAGGGGCCAGAGGGTCAATCTTCAGCTTTTGAGATGGGAGAACTGGTTGATGAAGGGAAGGACTCAGCAACATCAGCAACATCAGCAGGGCTTGGCGGGCTTTTGACCCTCAAGGAACATGGACCTTTGGCCTTAGCGCCACCTAACCGCCTCGAACAGTCGAACAGTCCGCGAGTTCGTTCATTGCAAGACTCGAAGGCCCAGTGTAGCAGCCGCAGGAGAGAGTATTCCGAATGCGAACCGTAACTGGACCTATAGCGATTCAATAGTGCGAGAACTATCTTATTTTCGGACCTGCTGATGCAAGACTATTTTACAAAGCCTCTACAAGACAGACCTATAGACCTCCTCCAAATCTACTTCAGAATCAGAAGTGGAGAACTTTCTTTTCCACCAGCCTGGCTGCCTCTCATTGCCTCTCCATCTCCCGGCAGGAGGCCAGACGACTTCAGGCTGAGGAGGAACAGAAAATGGCCGCCAAGAGGAAAGCGGATGCTGGGGCCGCCCAGACAGGGGCACTGTGAGAAGCTTTGCCCCAAAGATCCATTATTGTGGAGCAAAGATGACCTACATGGCTAACCAACCATATTTCATGAAAGGGTTTTGGAAGTCTACCGGTATAGTCTAGTAGGTATGGTAATTACATGGATAGCAGAGCCCATGAATTTGTGTTGATCTCCGTAGGAATCCTGCAGGGGCATGCCAGTAAAACATCAACATCGCTCTCTGGCTGAAAAGTACGGTTTCCCTATGGATCCCCATACCTTCTGAGGTACGGTGATTGGAGACTATTTAATCATTTGAAGCAACACCGGGAACACCAAATCCCTATGGATCTAGAGCTACCCTCTGAGAAGATGGTTGGAGACACTTTGAAGGGCTTGGAGGGCCCAATTACCTTCTGACAAGGTATGTGGATCCTTGTTACAATCATGCGTTCGTCGTGTCGCTACCTCCGCGTTCACCTTGTCGCTGCTGGAGATGGTTCGGACATGTCACACCATAGGTACCGGACCCTCACGCTGAGGGGGTGGTCCCAAAGACTCACTCCGACCACTAACATGGATGTGGAACAGCGTGGAAAATGGTCCAGGGGTTGTTCACTTCGAGTGTTAGTGAGTCAGAGATAGTCAGATTGTCCGGCGACCCTTCGCAACGTCCAGTGCCGCTTCAATTCGACCGTCCGGACTGCCACATGTGGTGCGGCCACCTTCGTCCGAAAACCGAGCATCGGTCAGATACCACATAATTAAAGGACATTAAAGGACCCTAGGGCTCCAGTCGTACATTCTTAGAAGGTGGGACTAAGGAGGGTGCCAGGGTCCAGTCATGCCTTCTGAGGAGGTACGACTCGACCCCTATAGGGGACGTTAAAAAGGAGAAAGCCGGAGGCGAACTGGAGGAACCGTTGTTGTGAAGGCGTCGTTTCTGGCCGCGCCACAGCCAGGCCGAAGCTGAACAACGGAGACAGGCCGGCTGCATGGAGACATGCAGAACGAAGTGACGGTTGAACGATTCCAACTTAGCCCAGGAAATCCCAAAGTCCCGTAAGGTACCTGAAAGATTAGCTACCAGCCAGTTACGGTAGTTACATCTACAGGGGCTAGGGCTAAGTTAGATGCTTTTTACAGATGATGCGGATGTCGGATCAATTGGCTGTTTTCTTCCACGCAAAGTGGGCCCAGCCGCTTCGGGCTCCAGTGGCTACCTTCTTGCCAGCGCCCCCCAAAACAGCATGAAAAAGACACGTTGTCAAGTGGTCATATACAAAAACCATGATTTTTGCTACGCAAGACCCGGTTTGCGATGGTTTGTGGGGTTTGTGGGGAGGGTGCCAGGAGGGTCCAAATACCTTCTGAGGAGGTATGACTGGAGCCTGGGCCAGTTCTTCCCCAAAAGAGGGAGCGAGGTCACTCGGAGCGGCCCGCCGCGCTTCCCCTTGGCGCTCAAGGGACGAAGAAATCATGTTCTGGTCTTCACTGGAGCCGTGTATAGCTCTTAGTTGAGGTGTTGGATTCCCTTGAATCGGATCCCTTTATCGCATCCAGTCTATCCGGGCGTCAGGCTGGGTGCCCTTCACTCCGGCTGCTGAATCCTGTGACACCAAAACTCCCCACCCCCAGAATTGAAAAACACCTACATCACTTGGGGGGATTCCTCATTGTAGTGGAAGTGTTGGAACGCGACAGGCTGCCAACTTTTCACACGACACACGCACACACATCGGTCTGAGGGGTTCTCCACCTCCACTGTTCGACACGTCTTTTCCGGTCAGTCGCGGGTGCCGCGGCAACTGGGCCAGGACGAAGCGCGGCGCCAGCACCGCTGCGTGTTGCGGTGCTTGGAGATTGGCGGCGGTGGGGGCAAGGAGCTTGGGGAGCGGGGCTCGGGGCAGTCGCCCAGAAAGGAGCGGGGGAGGAGGAAGCCTGCCTGGGTGGGATGGCGGATCAGTTTTCGGTTTTGCACGAGTGGGCGGACGAAGGATGAAGATGTTGCATAATAATGTATGATCGATCCTTTGATATTGTGGATTGATCTTCAGAAAGTTGGTTTGGTTGTTGACGGACCCAGTCATTGCGTGATCAACAAGATGGAACAACTGGTAGCTGTAGAGTTGATTGCAGAATGTTCCCTTTCCTCTTCAAAGTCTGATTTGGTGTCACTCGGTGTCAGTAAGAATGGCTACTGATGTTTCTTTTCCGTTTTTGTTTCTATACCGTCATTGACACTGTGAGGGAATAAATTTATTCTGCTGGTGGACAGCCGAATACAAACCTCTATAGGGTCATTTATCGCATTTATCACATTCGTAATAGAGGCTCACTGGAAATAGAAGATCTAGATACTGTAGAAGAAGCAAACCCTATGGATCCGCATTGCATACCTTCTCAGAAGGTAATTGGACCCTCCAAGCCTACATAAATAGTCTCCGTCCTCACCGTACCTCAAACACAAGGGACGTGGATCTATAGGGAAACAATAGGAGCCTGGACTGTTCAGGCCGTTCAACGTCCGAATCGCCCTGTGTCCCAAAACAGGGCCAGGAGGCGGGTCGCTTCTACAGTCGCTAGACCTATAGAGTTCTGTGTTGAGCAATCTGTGTCGCCAAATGCACGCCGCTGGTCGACGATCATCTTGCTGTCCGAGCGCTGGCTGAGACTCCATGGGACAGATCTTTGGGGATTGAACCCTTCTATGCGGCGAAGTCGTGTGGGACCTGTCATGCCAAACAGAGCGAACTGTCCTTGGATCTTGGTCTTTGCATGTTCCGCGCTTCGCCCAGCATGGAAAAGGAAGACCTGAGTTGAGTTCAACACATTAAAAACAATCATCAAACGATAATATATGAGGGTTGAAGAACATCTATTAGTTTGGGTCGGCCTGTACAAAGGGCTAGCAGGGGCTGTCTTTCATGACCACCCCCAAGGGGTTTCTATAGCCATATGCCAGGACCCCCTGAGGACTGGTTCATGGACCTTAACCTCTAAGCGTCTATTATTAGACACTGCCTAAACGGGGGCCCTGGTACTGATTTTGTCCATTAGATCCTAGGATAGCCCATGAACCATTTTCTATGAAGATCTGGACTTCCAATTGGCTTTTCATTTTTACTAACAAATCTCTTCAGCCGCGGTCCTCACGGTCCACACCGATCGTCCTATTTTTGTCGTCGAGCTCGTCACAGGAGCTGATCACCGCCAGTAACCTCACGGTGCAGGAGGCCTCCACGCGGGACCGGAGGACAAATGGTGAAGAGTAGCTCTTTAGGGAGCCAGCATGAAGGGGAGCAACTTGTTTTTGAATGTATGCTTGAATAACATTGAACAACTATTCGACAATCGCATTGAGAGAGTATTATATAATAGATAAATCGTTAATAGATAATTCATGATAATTACCTACAAGTCCAGTCTGACCCTGTAAAACCTGGTCAAACTTACCTCCTTAAGTAGTGGTTTTGTATGACCAACTTGAGTAAAATGAGCTCATTCGACTTGTAGGGATTGCTATGTATAATTGCATTGTTAAAAATTGTTATCAATTTCTTCGTTTTCCTGGTCCTCTACACTTGGCTCCCACCGCTGGCCGTCGGCCTCATCAGGTTGCAAGGCAACTCTGCCGAGAGTGGGAAACTCAGGGGTGCTGAAGATCTACGATCAACAGCTACTTCAAGTACTTCAAGTTACTTCAGGCCTCCCCGACTTGTTCAGTACCAGGCCTCCAGTACGAAAAATCATCCTGTAGGGGAGGCCTGTGAACAGAAATGTCCCTCACGACATTGAACAGGCCCACTCGTTACCCATTCGGTTTCCTCTTGGGAGGCCGGCCTCCGTAACCGAAGGAGCGGAGGAGTATGGGCGAATTCCCCTTCGACAGGATGGATTTTTTCAGGTATTTGTTCTATCCGTAAGCAATCCAATGCTCAAAGGTCTTGTATACATTCTTTTACAACATCCAGTGTTCTTGATTTGTCTGCTCGATGGACGTATTTCCTTGTAGCCAATTGGTGCCTAACCGGTTTGCCCTGCTTCAGCCCTAAGTTGTGAAGAATCAAACAGGATCTATTTCACTCCTCAGCCTCCACCTGTTCTCAAGTTCTGCTTCTTCCCCATGCCCTTCTCAGTCAGTTCGTGTATGATCGTGTATGCACGTTCGTATCGACGTGCGTATGAGCGTGGTCGCTGAGATTGAACATGCTGCGGGACGATGAACACCGCGGCGGCATCGTGCTCTTACACAATGGGCAGCCCCTTCCAGGAGTCGTTCCGAGCGCCATGCTTGAGCCGCGAGCGTCAAGTGTAGAGCGAGCGACATGCTTGAGCGAGCCCACGCGAGCGGGGCAGTAGGGTTTTTCGGTTTTAGGGTCCCTGGCCGAAAGCGGAGGCGATGTGAGGGGGACGGAAGGAACGCGAAGAAGCCAAGATGCGACGGGTACAGCTCACACAAATCTCAGTTGTGGCTTTTGGCCGAACTTCATGGGGGGTAGATTGGTTTCAGAATCTACGTAACATTGAGGGTTTGTAGACCTGCTCAAAGGCAAAGAATGTCTACACTTGTTGTGCGATACAATTGGTTTTGTTGTTACTCCAGCGGCGGATTTTTCAGCCTCCACTTGAGAAACCTTGATGATCCTTGATATGTTTTTTCTTTATTTTCTTTAAATCACCTGAAGGGATTGACGTTTGGACTTGGCTCCAATGTTTTTTGTTGAGGCTGTGAGGTTGGGAGCCGCAGTGAGTGTGGACGATTCTCTGGTTTTTTTGCATTCGATTCTTTTGGGGACGGCTTCTTCACACTCACTTGGATGGTTGAGCAGAGGAACAGGGTATTGGTCAGGGGAACAGAGAAGATCAACCATGGATTGTGATCTTCCAAGAACCGAGACGCAGGAACATAATTAATTACAGATTTTGTTTCAATTTTGTGAAGGAACCTCGACATTCCCAACGAGTCCCAACTAAAATCTGAACTTGCCAAGTGGAACGTGGAAGTTTTGCAGCTCTTTTTGACTAAGTTAAGTGTTTGAGGAGTTTCCATGTCAACATATATTTCAGAAAAGACTTCGAAAAAAGAGAAACAACCACAAACCAAACATTCTCATGGCAGAAATCAGTTGTCCTTGCACTCCAGGACGGCAGACTTTGCAAGACTCTGGAGTCAATGATGGCGATGAGGTCGGCGGATATCAAGTGTGGGGCAGTCGTCGGTGTTTCTTCGTTTTGCGACCTCCCTTTGGCGGAGCTGAGGTCGGGTGATTTGTCCTTCTCCCGAACTGAGTGACTCCCGCATGATTTGGTTTTTCACGCCGCAAAGCATGACCCACACGAGTAGTGGAGGAGGATAATTATATTCAAGGGGTCGACCCCAAGCAGTATGGAAGTAGTATGGAAGTATTCAAGGGGTCTATCGTCAGTATGGAAGTAGTGTCGTTTTGGGGGTTGTTGTTTGCCCTCTTCAGGGCTGCATGACTGGAGGAATGGCCGGTTCATGAAAGTCGGGAGGGGCCACGGTTCTTTTGCCACACAAGTGGCGAGTCACATTCTTGACCAGCTGACACCCTTGTTTGACCTGTAATTCAAGACATCGCAAAGCTGCCTAGGGTCAGACTTTTGTTTTGAGGTCAGATATCACAGATCTAATATACCTGGACCTTCAAACTTTGCAAAGTTGTTGCCTTTTGGCTGGCTTTTGGATGAAAAGGCGTCAATTTTGCACAGTTTGAAGATCCAGGTATACATCAAACGCTCCAGGTTCCCTCTCTCTCTCTCTCTCCCACTCATTTGACTCATCACCTCACATACCCTACAAGTCCAGTCTGACCCAGCAAAACCCAGTATAAAACCTGGTCAAACTTACTTCCTTACAGTAAGTAGTGTTTTTTAATGTTTTTGTATGACCCACTTCAGTAACATGAGCTCATTGACAACATGCCCCACGCATTCCGCCTCGAGGTGATGTACTTTTGGGGTGAGGGCGGGGAAGCCGCTGGCGCAGCAGATATCCCATGAGGCGCAGCCAGGTCTGGCTATGAGTCAAAACCTCCCGCACCAAATGGTTTGGTAGGTTGACACCACTGGAATATCTTCATTTTCAGGGGTCAACCAGGGTGCCCGGGTTTTGACCCACGGTCACATCGCTGACTGCCATCGGTGCTGGATTGTTTCCAAGTGCCAGGGTTGCACAGCTGTTGAGCCGTTTTGCCAAGGGCAGAAGAGATGATGCGACTTGAATCGTTTTTGCCAAGGATCTTGGATGATCTTGGCCAACGATCAACTAAGAGGTCCAGATCGTTTCAGCACTTCTGCGACAGGTTTGAAGTCACACATTATGGGCCTGTTAGAAAGTCCCAATCCTTTTCAACACCTTGGTGCAACACCTTGGTGTAACCCTGGCACTTCCTGCGCCCTGCCACATCCGCTGGCCACTGGAATACTCAGACTGCCACACTCGTGCGGTGCGAAGTCGTCGCCTGCCACACTCGTGGTGCGCTGCGAGTTCGTCGTCTCACCGAACTCTCTCTCTCTCCGCGGGGGCGTCACGCGGCGGACGTCCTCGCAGCATCGGTCGGTCGGACCATCGGTCGGTCTTCGTTTGATTTCAGTCCGCCATAGTCTGTCTATTGTCGTGTTTTTTTGGTATATGTGTTATGTGTTTAATTGAACACATGATGGTAGACATTCTGCCGTGGATTTAGTCGTGTACCTTGACAATTTATGCAGGGCAGGGCGCCCATTGAACGAATTCAATCGATTCAGATTAGAATAGCCAAGTGTAGAAAGTGGAGCTGTTGTAAGTCTGGAATGAAAGTTCCATCCATGTCGGACGTTAAATGAATTTGCACAAACACACAGAGGAAAGTACCATGTTCATGAATTCTTCCAGATTCATCCAGATTCTACATGTGCCAACATTAATATAGCTTCTCAAAGTGCTGATTTGCAACCCAGCTGTCACAGATGTAGTCCAGCTGTTCACCTGTTGGAATTCACACGTTTGACACGAGCAAGATGCTGATTCTGGAACCAGGCGACCAAGTGACCGACCGGGCCCGGCATGCCACCCAACGCCAACGCATTCGACCGATTTCGGGCCTGGTTTGGGCTGTCCAGAGTCGCTTTCATCCGATCCATAGTTGTGATTTTTGTTTTTCATGTCCAGTTTGCACTTGCCTAGGTTATTGAATGCGCGATGCCTAGGTCATTTTAGGTCACCACCATTTGGAGGATTCGCTTGGAAGAGACCAGGAACTTGGCCGACGGACCGGATTCGGATTCGGTCGGCTCCTTGCGAATCCGAACGGAGACTCGTCCATTGCTCCTGAAGATGTCTGTTTCCATTGCATGAAAGTCTCCCTATAGGCCCTAACCGTCCCTAACCTATACTCACTATAACCTCGCCATCTCAAGCAACCCATGACGCGGTTTCGCAAAGCCAACTTAGCTGCGACATCCTTCACGGAAACCGCCGCGGAAGCCTCCGCAGAGCCGGACCGTGGACTGCACCGGGTTGGAACCGCTGGGAGCCTGACTGAGAGAGGAGTCTCCATGTGGAGCCTGAGCGATTTCCACACAAGAATGGAGACAAGCTATAGCAGATGAAAACCGGAAACCAGCTTCTCCGAAACGGATGGATTGATGGATGTCGGAACTTTGAATATCAATGTAGTACCTCCCAGTTCTTTTGGGCTGCCTTCATGTTCTCGTAGCTATATTGAGAATAGTACTTTAATATACTGTAACATAACTTGTATTGCTGGCCTCGGCTTTAGCAACAGGTTTATCGCTTCCTTACTGTTATCCTGGGATCATTCGCAAAAGCTGAGTTCTGGGGGCTCCTCCTGCTGGGGTGCCAGCACCAACTCCATCAGCTAGAGCAAGAAAAGTTAGGTGACTGCAAGGTAGCTGCACCCTGCAGTTACCTTCATGAGTCGTGCCAGTCAAGCTTGAGGGTCAAAATGACTGTCGTGCAGGGGTCACGAAGGGCTGCACAGTCTTGAACTGGAAGCAGTCCAACTGCGCCATGACCTTCCTGCCAAGTGGAGAGTTATTCACCGGTGAGCCACCAGTGCGTGCGTCTAAACATCAATGTGAGCCTCTCGCCGCGTCGTGACTCGAAGCCGGACCTGTGACACAGGTCAGCTGGGGAAAACTGGTGTTTTCTATCACTTTTATCAACGTTCATCATGGTCGAGTGCGTCTCCGCTATGCTGAGGCCATTCGTTCGGATCGTCCGAAGCGTGCGTGATATCAACGTTCATCAACGTTCGTCTTATAGATTCTATCATCCCCAGACGCGACCCATGGGACTGCCATAGGATTGCCGATCAGGCCAGGGGTAGTTGGTTTTGGGGGTCAATGGGGCGGCATATATGGTAGTCCCATGGAGTGTATGGGATCTACTTATTAGTAGGTAAATGGCAAACCCTGTAATTACCCCGTGAAGAAGAAACACATGAATTGCATAGTCGTTACCTCCTGGAGATGTTCAGCGGCGTTGGGCTTTTGAACCATTGGCAAATTACGACAGAGTCAATACCATACCCTGGGTTTTTCGATTTTGCCTACTATGGATCTGTTTCTCTTTCCCAGCTTTTTCCCGGCTTCCTGGACCGCATGTTTGAAACACATGCACATGTAAAAAAAGCCTTCCCTCCAAAAACCTTCTATAGAAGGTACAACTTTTTTGCCCCAAACGTCTTCATGATGTTGCACATCCTCCGAAGCATCGACCTTGATCACTCTTGGGGGGGCCCTACTGGGCGGTCGCAACCGCGCCGCTCAGGCCGCGCCGGCGCCCGCGTGTGCCATGCCCCCGCCAGACACCTCAGCAGACCGCAGACCGCAGACCTCGGGACTCGAGGTCGAGGATGCTGCCCTATGTTGAGATGAAAGCCTTGACCTGGGGGGTGGTTTTATACAGATCTGTTCAGATGTTTTTAAGTATTCTCAAGTATCAGTATTACTAACTAACAACCAGGATATATGTTTGATCATATTTGATCAAGTAGCTGACGAATCATCTCTCTGATTTTGATGGTGCCCATTGGAAAGGCCACCCAGAAAGGAAAGGGTTTGCTTTTGAGACTGTGTTTTGAGTTCTTTCGGATAGACCAAGTTTGACCAGGACAGCGAGACAGACGGTCTTGAGGATGAACCTCGTGGTGAAACCACCGCGTGAACATCACAGGTGTGAAATTCTGCTATGTACTTGGACCTCATGAGCTAGAAAGAAAATTCCAGTAATTATATATAAATACTCTTTTTAGGGCGTGAAGGAAATGCTCTACCGAGATTGCCATAAGCAAAATCGAACAAACTGGTTGCAGAGAACTGTACCACGCCCTGGCGCCGCCTTTTCAGGTCAGATGACTGGCCCAAGAACCAGATGTCCAAGCGTCAACAGAAGAAGCAGGCAGTCTATGCGGTCGCTCGAAGTCAGGAGTTGCTGGAAACCAGTTTTGGGGTGTACTGGATACTTTCTTTTCATGCCATGAATGCCAGTTTCTTTGAAAGCAACTGCTTTGACAAGCAGTTTTCGCTATTGCTACTTTTGCACCGACCACTTTTACTCTGTCCCGTGCGGTTCCGTCCATGGCCCGGGTTGAACCTATTGGGGGTTGGCGCCGGCCGGGCTAGGTCAGGCAGAGCCAGATCCAACGAGGCACATCCCAACAGGTAGAGGCACATCCCAACAGCCAGAGGCACATCCCATTGATGGTTTATTTGGATGATATGATGTGTTTTTGTTTTAAACGTGGGAGTTGGACGGTGATCGCCCTACGGCATCGTGAAGGTATGGTCTTCCACCCCGGGTGCAACATCCGTTTCTTTATCTCTGATGGTTAGAGAATCTCATTCTCCTGAGTTCCAGATACCTTGAATGACCGAAAGGTAAACAACTTGACACCTGGCGCCGCTTCTGGATGCGTTTGTAAGGTATCTTTAGAATCTCCAAAGTGAGGAAGTGACCGTGGAGCATCGGTGCTAAATGGTGCTACCAGGACAACCGAAGACTCGGTCGGGCGTCCAGTATTCGGTTGCCCCATTTTGTGAGAACGTCATTCTTGCATTGGCTTGCGTTCTTGACCCGGGACTACAGTCAGAATATATCGTTGCTCGGAAATGCTGACGCCTTGTGATGTTCTGCCTATCCTACACAATCATCAAATACAGTTTTGATCATGTTTGATCTCTGCCAGCAGTTTTGCGTTCAACGTCACAGAAACTCTCCACCTCCATGAACTCCCATCATTGGAACACACACTCCCACCATGTACCCATATCTACCCTATCTACCCTCCTGTCTCAACATTGGGCCTCGGCCGCGCAGGTGCTGCGGGAAGCACGACAAGAGCGGAAGGGCGCCAAGAAGGCCCTGAAGCAGGTGCCGCCCGGCCCCATGCGGCGCGTTGTTTTTTTCTTGGGTCCCGGAAGAACCCATCACCGACTTGGCTTCGGACCCACCGGAGATGTTGAAACGAGCAGTGAGTATCGCAGTGAGTATCGTTGGGTGAAGACACTTCGACTCCGGCCGGCCACGACGGCCTCGCCCGGTGCCGCGCTCGCCCGGTGCCGCGCTCGCCCGGTGCAGCGCTCGCCCGGTGCAGGTTCAATCCTTGAGCTCGGTGCTTCAGAGCTTAGATGAGCCACTGGGCCGAGAGCGGAGGGAGTGGGTCTGAGCGGACGAGAGAAGCGAGTGGGACTGGAGAGTTGAGGTTGGTTGAGAGTGAGGGACTGACTGGTCTGCGATCTGGGTGGTTATTCCAAAAAAGGATAGAACAAACAGATGACAAAAAAGGTCTATTTTTGGGGGGAGGGAGTGGACATCATACAAGAGATGTGGATCTTCCAGTGGGATACATACAAATATTTCACAATATGTTTTACGATGTTTTACGTATATACTATTATGTGTTTTGCTTGTGGACCTCTGGTAAAAAGTCATGGTTTCTCAAGTACATGTTTTCGGACGTTTTGACCCATTCGAAGGCAGACCGAAGACCGAAGATACGAACAAGCCATCTCAAGCCATATATCCGGATCGAACGCAACTGTTTCAACCTGTTTGCCCAACTTGGCAGATTTTTTAGAAGGCAGACGTGTTGAGTTTCAAGATCCAGCCCTATGGATCCACATAGCCTCTGGCTCGAAGATGGAGGTGTTCGACACTGTGGAGACTTGTCGGTCGCCAGGAGGGTTCGGTGGTACTGAACCTGAGAAGGTAGGACTGGATAGGGCGGCTGTAGGGCAGGTAAACCCAGGCTCAACCACTAGGTCGGTCCACTAGGTCAATGTTATTTACTGACCTTCGAAGGCTGCTGGCGGCTCATTTGGGATCCTCGATGCCCCGTGCTACGGCGCTGGAGAAGCTCGTTCTAGCGGGAGGGGTGCACTGAACCCACCGCTGTTTAGCTGGGTTCAGTCGGTTATCAGGAAAATTGAGTGGGTGGCGGTTTCAGATATTTTTTAGAATATATTTTTTAAAATAGACTTGGGATGATTGAACCCACTGACGAAGATGTTTTAGTTTGTGAGTTGAAACCACCAACCAGAAACATCAGCCCGAAAGAAACTGGTTCACCACAATGATGTAGTGATATACAGGTGGGCTGACTTTTTGCAGTGACGATTGTTGGCATATGTTGGCATTGTTGGACGCAATTTTAGGAATCATGTGGTGATTCTTCAGAGAGTCTTTTTCCAATAAGTATGACTGGGAAAACGGGAGTTGAGTCGGACTGGGAAAACGGGTTCCGATTTGTTCCTGCAATCGTTCGATTCAGTATCATTGGGCGAACATGTCTCGCTGAACGGCCTTGGCTGGGCCGGTAGGGGAGCATAGGAGACCCTGCAGACAAACATAGATTGCAGACAAACATAGACCCTGAAGATTGACCCGTGGAAGACCATGTTCTTCTACCACCCACTGGGCTCAGGGGGTCCGTGGTGGTCCTTTGCAGGGGTGTATTTTGTCTGTGTGGAAACACCGGGCCAGCAAAGTCATAAGTCACAGCCAAATCATGAAGTCTGTTGGACAAAGTCCAACAACTTGTAATCTTTCCCAATCATTTCACCATCCTTCCGTCCTGTTGGCAGCGGATGGCCCTCACAAACTTTGGGTTCCACAGCACTTCAAAAGCGATGAGGCATGGGTACATATGGGTACAATTGCCTGTTTTCTATCGGATGTTCTTAGGTCAGAGGCATGTCACATTTTCACCCACTAATCTCGCATTACTTTATACATAACATAGCAAATAGACTCCTGAGATGATACACCAGAATTGCCTGTCGTCAGCCTATGGTTTGTATTTGCCAGGAGACTTGTACAAGCTTTCGAGGTCTTTTGTGAGACAGGAGACGGACCCCCAACTCACTTGCCTCGCCTCGTTCGCCGGACTTCCCGAGGAAGGTCTTTGGAGCTACGCAGGCGTATGAGATGCTGGAAATGGCGCATGGACCAGCAGTTGAGGAGTGCTGCGGTTCTAGGTGCTGTTTTGCGGGCGTCCTATAATATAGACCTTACGTGACAAACTTGGAACAGAAATGGTTTGATGGATGGCACCCCTGTTTGTGAAACATGGTCATTTTGTTGGGACCATGCCAAAAATTTCCATGCGATGTGCTCGTCAGAAGTGTAAATGAGGAACTGGAGGAAGTTTGCTGCGAAGATGAGACTCGAAACTGCAAATCCTTTGATCATCCCACGTTCTTTGACACACACACACACACACATATACATTATATATACATACACGTTCCGTGTTTTGGTCTGCGTTTTTGGCGACCGGTGGCGGACAGCGCACCTGCTTTCAGGAAGGCTTGGCCTTGTTGGGAGCGTCGGTGGTGCGACCAGAGAAGTACAACGCAAAGTTCCTGCCACAGGAATATTCGCTCCTTCACAAGCCTCTTGTCACTGAAACCAAACGCTGTTGGCGGGATGGAAGAAGCCAAGTGCATGCATATGGAGGAGAACAGAAATCCAGCAAAAGCCGACTAGGTCACTGATATGCCCGATGGATCCACATACCTTCTGAGACAGACGGGACGATTAGCAGGGAAGAGGTAGGAATTCTGCCTTTTTCTTTATCAACTTCAATTTTGCATGACAGTCAGTATTCCCCAAACAGTGTGGACACACTAGGGGGTCTTACGGTAGTCGTAAGTTAAGCACCTGTGTCTAATCGAGGTGTTGCACCGGGGCGTCCGGCTTATTCGCTGCTATTCATAGTACATTCATGCCTCTCGAAGTCCTCGAAGTGCATTTCGACTCGCAAAATCTGGTGGGCCGCGGTGGGTGCTTATCGCATCATTAATTCAAGGTTGTTACTTCAAAAGTTCTTTGCGAAGAACACCCCAAAACACAAAGCTTATGTATGTCCGACTATATTTCCTGAAGCGTTTTTGTGCTAAAGAAACTATCGTCGACTATCCTCCCAGTGGTTCCTTGTGGCCAACTTGCTCCCAACTACCTCGGAAACCTACCTCTTCCCCGCTCCTACCTCTTCCCACTCGTTGGCTTGCCTAACTCCGACGTACGGTGAGGACGGAGACTATAGACACATAGGCTTGGAGGGTCCAAACATTCTGAGAAGGTGGCAGTGGATCCATAGGGCCTTTTTCCGGATGGGGCGACTTGGAGTTGTGGGAGGGTCACGCAGCCCATAGATGTCCTTTTGACATGAAAATAGAGGGGAAGTGTGCAACCAATATCAACCGATGGGTGTTTGGTACCCCATCCAACCACTCTGTTGTTCTCAAACGGATCCAACAGGACATCATTGACACACTTATACACCTATAACCACTTGACGCCGGTTGTGATAGGAGAAGGACCTTATTGTTGTGTGGTCGGTGGTCCAATCCCCAGGTCCAAAGCTAGGCGGACAGGGCCACTACCCCACCTCGCAGTTAAGGGGATAACCAGAAAGCAGAACAACACAGGTTTCGCCGCAGGTTGGTTTGGGGAGTTGACTCCCGCTTGCACTTGTTCCAGGATTTCAAAATATTTCAAGTGTTGAACAATGCTCTGACATCCAACCTCCCACCCTCTTCCAAGCTCTTGGTAGAGTTCTGAAACAATCTGGTGATTGGTTCTGGTCTGTTTGTTGCTGTTAGTCGACCGTCATCTTCAACACGCCGGAGACCCCTCGTTTCATACATGAGTGCTGCTGGTCTTCCGATTGTGATAACTTTACGATTCACTCGTGGAAGTGGTCGCTTGACAAAGAGCCCGGAAGTGGTCGCTCAACACGAAGAACCCCAGTGATCGGAAGTGATGCCAGAACTGTCCGCTGCCCTGTCTGGTAGGCTCCATTGCAGCGAATCGAGTGCACACCAACACTTTATGCCGCCCTATAGGGTGGTGCATCGAAATATCATCGTGACCTTTTTGGAGTCCCTATTTGACCTTTTGCAGGTCTGACCTCCAAACCAGGGGATCAGAAGGTCACTGGTCTGATCCTGGATTTTGTTCCCGCTTTCCTGGAGAGCAAAAATCAAATTTGAGCGATCTCGGTGGAACTCCACGACAATCGCTGGAGGATTTGGACGTTGCTGGGGCCCGACAGCTCCTCTGCTGGGGTGCTGGACATCGGCGCGGGGAACGCCAACTGCGCGGTGCTGGCAGCAGCGCTTTTGGGTTTGACGGTGTGCCTTTGGTGTTGCTGTTGGTGCGATGAGAAAGGGTTTTCCCTAGGCAAAGACTATTTAAAACATGGTTGACCTTGTTTTGGTAGTTTAAAATCCTCAGAATAACGATGGTCGTCCGGTAAAAAGGTTTACACATAAATCGTTGTTGGGAGGCTAGGGTTTCTTGGGGCGGGGCAAGGGTGAGGGCGGGGCAAGGGTGAGGGCGGGCCCTCTGTCGCAAGTATAGGTGAAACGTTAAAAAGCATGCTTAAGCCCTTGGTTTGAGGCAAGTATAGGTGAAACACATTGGTTTATATTTGTATGATGTCCAGGCAGCTCGGGGTGGAGCCGCGACACCAAAAAGCCTTGCAAACCACGAGTACTGGTTTCTTCTGTATCGATGAACCACTGATATGTTCAAGTCAAGCTAACCCGTCATTCAAAGGGTCATGCCGTCATGCCTTTTTGCCATCCACCAGCATGTGTGTTTCCTTTTTCAACAGCAAGGGGGGGCTGCAGGGCAGTGAGCCCAAGACATTGGCATATTATGCATAGTCTGATTTGGGGACCTTTCTTCGCTGCGCGAGCAGCGTTGCCGCTTTTTTGTGGAACCCGAGGATTTGCGTGGAACGGGAGTCACCCCGCCACTCGGTCGAAGCATGCCAAGAGGGCCAGATGCGATGTTCGTGAAATCATGGGCCGATGTCGAAGGGTGTGGCCCCGATTTCGGGGGGATCATGTTTCGAAGACCAAACAGGTAGTGCCACCATCCACGGGATTCTTGAGGAAGAGTCTGAAGGTGTTAGAATGCCCAAAATTGGATTGGTACGACATGTTTGGTTTATCCATACGGTGGCCGTCTGCACCAAGAATTGGTGTCGACGCAATGCTCAATATTATGTATTTATTGTTCAATGTGTGTTGCAATCGAAGACTGCCGATCCGGTCAACATTTAACCTGAAAGTCCCGTCCCTTGCCTGTTTCGTGCACTTAAGTACCTGTACCTTTCAAGGGGTGTCCTGATCCTCAAGATCCTGGGTCGTAGTGGGCCGGGCACCCCGCTGACCCCTTTCAAGCTGGTAGGTTCTTCACTGATGCGCGCTAGGCAGTGTTTTTCTAAGAGCCATGACAGTCAGGTGTGGACTTGCAGGAACTTTGCGGACTTGCAAGGACGTTCAGATCCGAGATTTTGCTAACGAGCCGGAGGAACTTTCGTTTTGACTCATGAACTACCTCACCTGGAAGTCATAGTCCACCAGGCCGGGGTAGTTCATGAGTCAAACGTGGACTCTTGGGTACCGGGAGGGTTCGGATCTGCAAAGTTTCGTGTCCTCAGTATAGCTGACGTCATTCCTTGCCTTTATTTGCATCTTTCTTGCAACAAACACTTGGACCAAAAACATATGTGCTTATGACTCACAGATTCTTTTCCTTCTACTTTTTTTACCAAGACTGGGTGAGGAATTCGCACATTTTTTAATGTGCCCGGCCTGTCAGGCTCTGTTGTAAATTAAGGAAACATCATTCCAATCTAAAACAAACTTCATTCCACTCCCAATCCCGCAGTCAGTCTCGCCGTCAATTCCGGCCTCAGCGTTTCCATTGCGCCCTTGTGGCTCTGCCGGTCTTGGATGCAAGGATGTGGATGAGAAGTTAGGTCATTGTCACCACAAGTGGTAGTAGCACAATGGAATGTTGCACTTCAAACGTGGTATATAGAATTTAGAGACCGCCCAGTGACTGATGACATTCGCTGGGCAGTCCTTTGCGGCCAAAATGTGCCTAAGGCGGGTGCTATCTGCTATCTTCACTCATTGCCTGCCAGGGCCATGAACTCAGCCAGTGTGGGTGTGATATCTTGGAGAAACTTGGAGACATGTTCAGGGGGTTGACATGGTCTGACTCTTTCTCTTCAAGGCCTTGAGGTCAGCTATAGTCTGGGCCCAGGATTGGCTGGGTGATTGCCCCCAGAGACCAGGCATTGAATCTTTGCAGTAAGCCAGGGTGGGGTAGTGTCCCTCTTGTGCAGAGCAACAGTGCGCTCAGTCGATTGGCGAAGCTTTCCGCTCTGCGGCTCTCAGGCTGAGGCATGAACTTGCCAGACAGCACCATCATTGAGGAGGCAAACAAGTTCTTGGCAAGGTTCCCACCCCCAACCAGGTGATCAATGAAGCTAGCTGAGCAGCTTTTTGAGGGTGATTCCAGTGTCAGCTGCATTGCCTGCCTACTTTTGTGCCAAGTAAGGCTGCTACTCACGCAGATCCTGCGGCTTCAGAAAGCCTTTGCCTCATGGATGTGTTTTTGCAACCATACATCTTCAATGATGTGGCAGCCGAAAGGCAAACCCCCCGTAGTTTCCAGAGCAAGATGATCAGCTTGCCAGGAATCCAACCATCAGCTTCTTTTCCGGTATCGTGGATGAGTACAAGATCCAGGCAGTGTTTGATGTATCGCCTGGGCCAGGAGCCTTGATGGAAGCTGCTTTGTCTAGAGGCGCTGTTAATCACAGTGTGTGCCTCGACTGCGATCACCAACAATGGCTTCAAGGTGTCGCGGATCGAGCTGCATGTGCTGTGATCACACTGGAATTGTCAACTCTTTGGTCCGACAGATTGGCTTTTACATCAAGAAGTTTTTCTCCAATGTCTTGGAATGCAGCAGAAGAAGAGGATCCATATGAGCCTGACAGCCTGGAAGGGCTACAGGCTTGCGGTTTCCTGCGGCTTTGCGGCTCTCATCATGGTTGGCAGGGCCAGCGGAGGGAAGAGTCGCTTGCGTTTAGCAGCCACTTGATGATTGTCTGCGGGCCAATTGTCAGATGAACCAGTTGTCAGACGAAGCCAGTGTTGGGAGAAAAGACCTTGCAGGCTTTTGTCATAAAGTGGAGTTTTTTCACATCAACAATGGATTTTGCTGATGGCAGCCCTCATTGTACCAGGTGTTTTGAGCAAGCTGCTGGCTTTGTGCGCAATAGCATTGCGAAGGAGACTGGTTGCTGGATGTTTTGATTTGCTTTCATCTGATTCACAATTGCATGGGTCAGGCATACAGACCACATGTCCTACAGGACGCAACAGTTCCACGGCGATTGGACGGCGCCATTCATGCTATGAAAATAGGTCTCAGTACTGCCCGAAACCTTGTTTTTCTTCGGAGCTGCTGAATTTCCCACCCGGAAGAGATTAGGTATACATATGTGTATAATATATATATATATACGCACATATATATTTATTAAACAATCCTTTGTTATCCTGTTTTTGTTCACCCGGCTTCCGTTCCCTTCGCCGACGGCTTCCTCTCCACCCGGAGCTGCGCTCTCCGCTGCACCAAGGCATCGAGCTGCGCGCTGAGGAGCTGCTGCCGCCCTCGCTGAGGGCAAAGGTGCGGCGCTTGGAGATGGACATCGCCGAGCGCCTTGGCCGGTTGTGTGTTTTTTTGGGGCGCTTGGGGTTTGATTTGTTTCCGTTCCCGGGTGAATCCATGCCGTGTGATGTTTTTAGATGACGCTTGTTTTTTAGGTTCGCGGGTGCATCCATGATATTTGTTTGTTTTGTTCCCGTTTTTTATTTGGCAAATTTTGGTGTGGTGTGGGTGGTTTTTGTGTGCCATTGACATTGACAGTGAACGGGTGAATGCTGGGGAATTTGAATATGTTAATGTTCCCGGTTTCCTGACGTCAAATCCAAGGCTCGACGTGGCGACCTTAAAGGCTCTCGCGAAGGAGTGCCTTGGAGATGAAAGACTAAGCAGTGACCATGGAAGGGTCGTGAGGAGGTTTCGGTGGATTTTGGTTACCAGCGACCCTCAATGTTTCAAAATGCGTTCACAGACAAAAACCATGTTTCCCCAAACAGTTTGTTGGGGTTCTATCTTAGAAAAATAGAGCTGGCCACACTCACTGGCCGCGCCCTGTGGCTGGGCTGTATCCGGGCCTTGTCCTCCTTCTCTGGCCCAGCTCTGTGACTGTGTCCGGGCCTTGTCCTCCTCTTGTCCTTGTCTTGGCCGCGCCCCTGAACTCTGTGGCCCGGCTCTGTGGAACTCTCTGGCTGGGCTCTGTGGCCCGGCTCTGTGTCCGGGTCTTGTCCTTGTCTTGGCCGCGCCCGGCTCTCTGTCCGGGTCTTGTCCTTGTCTTGGCCGCGCCCCTGAACTCTGTGGCTGCGCTCTGTGGCCCGGCTCTGTGTCCGGGCGTGCAGTTCCCAAACAGCTGGAGGTTTTAGAACAGTTTACTTGCGTTCGTTTCCACCAACATGGAACTTTCGGAGTTGACGCCGACGCCGAAAAAATGTTGATGCTGTTTGGGGTCTATGTTGGTATAATTTTTGTTGGGAAAACCAAATTTTTGATGGTTTGTCGGCCCCTGGTAGTTGGGGGAATTTTTGTGGCTTCGAGTCTGCAAAGGAGCAGAATGGAGCGGCAGAGGTTTTCTTGGATAGGGGGGAATGGTGACTGGAAAGGCGTGTGGGGTCAGGATTCGATATTAGATACGCCCTGAATGGACTGGGCAGCCTTTTGCTTTGGCAAGGTCTTGGTTTTAGTCTTGAAAGACGAAACATCATGGCGACAAAAAATGGTGGGCGATGAAACAATCCTACTGGTTGGTGGCTTTAGATGCTCCTGGACCTTCGTCTGGTACATATATGTGCACACAATTGGGTTCTCTTGACGTTTGGGTACCCAACAATAGGGCGATGTGGTTTTAATTTTCTTTGTTGATCCCAATGATCATAACTTTTGGGCACAAAACCACCATTCAAAGACGAAGTTCCCGTATGTGGATTGTTGAGACAGAGTGCCCGCCAATATGTTTATATAGCCTATAAATACAAACTAGGAAGGACATGGACATGTTATACCTGGATCTTCAAACGGCCCAATGTTTTGCCCGATGCCTGTTTCAGTGAACAGACACCAAAAAACATGCCGTTTCAAGAGTTGCAAAGATGTGCTCAAACGTTTGGACCCCTAGGGACACGTTTGGACCCCTAGGGACACTTTTATTTTCTCACCTTGCTACCATAAAGGCACAGCCAGTTTCTGCCTTGTCACAGCAAGAGCCTCCGTTTTTTGGAAAAGATACCGTAAAGGCATGTTTGTCTTTCTCAAAAGGCAATTTTGTTGTGCTATTTCAACAGATCCAGTTACGGTTCGTTTCTTTAGTTTTCCTTTTCACAGGAGGTCTTTGAAGGTCCAGCGAAGACATGTGTGATCACAAGATATCACAAGTGTTTGTTTTTTTCAGATTTTTGAACTCTTCTTCCTGGCCAGTTCACACATGTTCGCACCTTGACAAGCATCAATCTGTAGAAAAAGAACATAAGATTTCCATTTACCCCGCATGAACATACATACGCCTAGCCAGGGGACTTCCTCGACCCCTTGCAGTGTTCTTACTTCTTGTCCATGTCAAAAACAACTTTAAAGGGCTGTTTAGGTCACATGCCCTCATTGTGTCAGTGGCACTGGCCACTCTATATGGTGACCTAGAACAACCACTTGAAAGTGCACATATACAATGTTGGGCCCTAGAACAATCATACTGCATATAGAGTGACCTAGACTCAAAATTTACGAGTATATAACAAGCAGCACATGTATAATATATGTAGTGTAATACATAACAAAGACGACTTGTTGTTCCACTTAGATTAGGCATACGTAACGGCCACTCCAAGGATGTCCCCACTTCCGGTGTACAGAATCAAGTCGCGACCAGAAAGCATATATGAATTCCTGTGCCCGCACAGTAAATGCACTTCATCCATGGTCCTTGCCACACACCATCTTCCAAACAGTGCCAACATGTTTGCCTCTCGGACTATTTTTTTCAGCTATAGAATCTCACAGATTTCACAGATCTCGGGGCATCTCGGACCTGCCGCGTGCCGTCCGCGCGTGCCGTCCGCCTGCGCCGGTCCACCAGGTATGGCCTCCAGCGCTTCGTCCTCGTGGCGAAGCACCCCTGTGGCATCGGAGTGGATCGCTCCATCGACTGCGCGCTGCAGCTCGTCGACGCACCCGAGGACGTGGCGTCTTGGCGTTCGCACGAGGAGGAGTTGAGCCTTCATGCGTCGGGCCATGGGGTGGGCTGGGAACTGCAATATGGAATTCTGAATTAAGTACTGGTGCGACTCGTAGGGAATAAGGGAATGAGCCAACAATAGAGATTCTAGTGGATCCAGCCACCCTCATTCTTTGCTAAGCACCAGTCAGAGTAGGGGAAGGAGATCCGAAGAAAAAACACACACCTGGTCACCTGGTGTGCAAAAGCGGGGCATTGCAGAACGTTTCACTTCTGAATGGTAAGCTGTTGACTTATAAATGTGTGTGTTCTAGCCTTTTTTGCTTACTTGGCTCTTTCTTCTCAGAACGTTGGAGCATCATATAAACGTAATTATCATGGCAATCTGGCGACAGTGTGTGCGTTCTTGCGTTCCTTGCCAACATCGCGCATCTTCTATCTGTGTTTTTTTTTCGTGTTGTGTAGGCGGGTGACTCAACTGGAGATCCTGTTGGATTATGGCCCTGCAGGATCCACCATCACCAAACATAGATCATCTGCAGCTCATTCTTCCTTTCGATGTTTTTTTGTGCATTTGGAGCTGCACGCCGGATCCGACCCATCCAGACTCCTTACGTTTGGTGTTCAACATGTTGTTCGTTTCAAGAGCCTCCATGCCATGCTGGGACTATTATATGGCCTCAGCCTCATTTGGTGATCTTTTGGGGCCTCCAAAGTTTATGATGCTTGGAGGGACCTGTCGGGCTGTGAAGTCGGCAGTCGACGGCTCTTTCAGGTGGGTGGAACATGCCCGTTTGGGCTCCAGTCGCACCGAGCCTGAGAAGGTGTTTGGGGTGGGTTGGAGGGTCCAAATACAGAGGAGGCATGACTGGAGCCCTATGGAGATGCCAAACATCCCACATCCAACACCTCTTCAGGATGGGCCGCCTCTCAGACCGGAAATGCCTGGAAACGGGACACGATTCGGACACGGACACGTCAGGATCTGATGGGCGTGGTGATCGCCACCTGCTGCAGTAACAAGCTGAGCCTGGATGATTTCCGAGAATCGCGCGTCCAGGAGTTCTGCGATCTCAACTCGAGGCCCTGCGCGTTCGACGTGTGGTGGCACACCACGCGCGTTTGACGTTGACCGTTCCCGACAGGGGGGGGGGGCGCGTGGAGGGCGCGTGGAGGTCGGGAGGTCGGGCCTCAGAGATGGTTTCGGCCACAAGGTTTGGAGGCGAAAGAGGGTGAGAAGACTAGAAGACTGTCATAGGTATGTGACGGTATGTGGGTCTGTGGTGGCTGAGATTTAAGGCTCAATGGCCTGACGCTTGGCAGTTTGGGTGTGGCTGCTCCTGTGCCCGGACTTGCCTAAGTGGATATCTGACTAATTGGATTCGATCCACTGAAGACTTCTTTGCTGGTCTGCAGCTTCACTCACCTTCGTGCCTCTCAAAGGTGGAGGTTGAAAGCTTGACCGACCCTCATCCAGATCCTGAAAAACAATTGAACTCCTTGGGCAACAATATGTCTCACTATCAATATATGGACCATATGGCCATATATCAACCTACTGTATAGTTCTCCCAAACATCATGGAATTCTCCAATTGCTCCCCACAGTCGCAGCACATTCTGCAGTTCATCAATCAACTCACCCTTCCAGTCCTCGAACCACTGCTCTGGGGCTCCGTCGTGCGTCTCTTCGCGTGCGCGGTCACAGGCAGTTGGGCTCCGTAACACCGGACGCTTGGACGCCGCACGGCGTTTGGACTTCACGGTGGGTTTCACTCACGTCGAGGCCTATTGGATCTCTAGAATTCATGTAGCATACTGTAGCACTCGAAGGCACACCATGGCCTGATGATTCATTTTTTGGTTTTGCAGTATTCTTAGTTTGGGGCATCGTATGTTTTTTTTAGCTGTCGGTTCGTGAACAGAAAGCCATCCACCACTCCCCATTACATGTACACAGTTATACTCCACAAATCACTGACAGGGTGGGACAATAAGAGTCACAGTCCCTAGGGCTCCAGTCGTACCTTCTGAGAAGGCAAACTGGAGGGTCCAGACATCCCTTCTGAGGAGGCACGACTGGAGCTATAGGGAGTATGAGTCACCGTCGCCCGGTGCAGTGCAGCCGGGTGCAGTGCGTGGGTCGGCTGTGTCGGGATCCGGGGTCACCTTGCCCATCACCCTGCTCATGCACACCTCTCCCTGGGTTTGCTTGAGGCGTTTTTGGAGTTGGCCTATAATCCCATACCTAGGAAGATGTTCTTTCCAGGTTCCTGGCATAGCACATCCAAGTGGCGCACCCGCCTCAGGACTTGGTGAAGGCCGTGGAGCTCATGAGCAAATGCACCGCCTGGCGCTCGGCCGCACAGAGCCTGGGGAACGCCATCAGCGACGAACAGATCACGTACGCTCAGATCTTCGAGGATCACCTGCAGCTTCGGCCGAGTCGCGTCGGGACGCGCAAAAAACCGGGCCATGGTGGGGAGACCGCGCTGTTTGTTCGGCCACGTGTGTTGTAACAGTTCTTCGGAACTTGGGAGGTGAAGTGAAGCAGCTGGGTGGTGTAGCGACAAGACGAGGACCCTCGGGAGGACCGAAGTGCGGCGAAGTGAAGGGCCGTTCCGACGCCCCCCGCGAAGGAGACCGGACAAGAGAGCCGTCTATAGACAGCGACCGGGCCCCAAAATAAGGCCTGAGATCCAACTACACCCCCAGGTGGGTGGAGGTTGGAGGTGAAGCCAAAAGGAACTGAAGATGTTTGATGATGTTTGATGTGCCGATGGTTTGTGGTTGGCCCAGTTTCTCTGGCCGAAGAGAACGTCTGCGACGGACAGGTTGATGCGGAGCGTGGTGAGGTTCTTTTGATCGGTGCACACTGTCCCCGTTGACCACTGTTTTCGATATAGGAAAAGATCATCACCATGTGTTTGGCTCTGAAACAAGAGTTGTTTATAATGTACCCTGGATTCCAACCATACTGAAAAATACACATATAAATTAATATATATTAATTTTACAAGGGGCGTTTGACTACAAATTCAGGTCAACCATTCTTTTATATAAGGGTCTTTGAAGGCTAGGGTATTGACAATAATTTTAATCATAGCAACACTAATGAACAATATGTAGACATCATGTTTTTTTGGGCAAGGCCTTTACCAGCCATCGTCATTCATCATCAAACTGCTAGTGGTCATGGGAGATATCCAAGATGTAGTTGTACTCCATGGTAATGATTTTTAGAAAAGAACGTTTGGCATCTCTCCGATCCTGCGGCAGATGTGCTGGTCCGGTCATGTGCTTCAGGCAAGCCTTGCGAGTACAGAAGCTGGCGCAGGCTGGGCAAGCCGTGGTGGATGGATAATCATGGCAGTTAGTTGGCTGGATGTACGGATGTAGGACCCATTCGCTCAAGCTACGAGTCCTGGACAGGTTCTTTATGCAAAGGATTGCAAAAGGAGTTATAATGGGATTCACCAACGGTGTTCCTATTGTCCAAGGACTTTGTTGTAAGAATGTTCTTTCTACTTTGTTCTCAGCTTTTATGCGGACGTCCTGGCAATGACCGTATCTCCAAGAAGCACACTGAAACAGAGTCACACGTGTATCAAGAGAGCAATATCACACATACTCCAAACAATGCCACTGCCATGGGGGACCGGTGATGGCTGGCCTTTCTTGTGGGAAATGACCAGTTGAGAGCTTCCCGACATTTCCAGCCGTTGTGCTCTGTTGTGCTCGCTTGATGCAATGTCCAGCCGTTCGTCGCGACCTACGCCGGGACTCAGCGAACTCGCTGGCTTCTAGGTGTCCCGGTGGTCCCCGTTGAAGTTCAATCGACGAATTGGCACAAGTGTAATGCATAGACTCTTAATGGCTACCACCCCCCATTTGGATTGAAAGACCTCTTCATCTGGGGGGGTTGAAATCATCTGAGTCTCGATCCTCAAATCCTTTTCTTCGATCCTCTCGGATTCTATGATCTTCGCCGCTCAGCCGGGCTCTTTGTTTGCCATGCAGAGTGCTTCGTCATGTATGCTGGAGTTTTTGCAGTACTGGTCTCTAGTCGTTCAGAAGACTGTTTTCCTCCTCAAGATGGTTAAACCTCGATTCCTGGAATCAGTTTCATCGAATTGAAGATCGAATTTCATGGTCTTTTCTGTGCGCAGCGACCTCGTCCTATCTTCAAATCCGCCCGATGCAGCTCTCGCCCGACGAGCTTCGGCGGAGAGCTGCGGCGATTGGTCTGAAGTCTTCCGATGAAGATCGATTTGGTGGTTCCGAACCTGGGTCGAATGCTAACTGACCTACCCGTAAACCGGAAACCGCCGCGCCCTGTTCGTCCCCCAAAGCGGTAAACCGGTAAACCGGTGGCTCCAGCTGGAGGAAGGGGGGGATCCCATCCGGTTCCAGTGGCCAAAAAAAACACGTTGGGGAGAAGACATGAGAAGACGAAGGATGCAGAGAAACACCGTCGAAAGAACGCACACCATGCAGTCCTTTTGAGATGTGCCACGGGTCGGTGATGTCCCATGTGCCCAAATAGCCGCACCGCGGCGGTTTGCCCCCCCGCGGTCAGGCCTTCGGTGCGGCCAAGGAGGTCCGTTTCGCACCAAGGAGCTGTACCTTGCAGGTGGGACCATGGGACCCGGGTGAACGGTTCTGTACCGGACCGGGCTTGTTTTGATCGGCCATGATAGGCCATGATGGACCGAAAGCTTGAGCATTTGGAAAAGGGGCAAAGCATTTGGAAAAGGGTGAGTGCTTGTAGGTGACCTTTTTCAGTGGGGGAGAAAAGAGGAGACATGGTGGGTGGATGTTTTTTTTGGTTCTTTCAGGTTTGGTTGAAAGCTTAACAGATTTAGAGAGCAAAGGTTTGGCTTTCAACTTAGAGCAGGTATTCATATGGATAAGACCTGCAGCTGATACACTGGCCAGGGTGATCTCGATGACAGCAGAAGAATGCACTGCACCATGGATGAACACATTGAACCAACAAGAAAACCTTGCATCGACACTTGTGATGTGCATTCCCCAGCAAGCCAAAAACTAATCATGGGCCAGAAAACCGTGGATGGCATGGCTCCGAGTTCGGATGACCATGTTCATCCGTTTGGAATACCAAGCAGGTGGTGCCCTCCGAGCACCACCAAGCGTCGTGTCTTCAAACCGGTTCCACTTCACCCTCCAACCGGTCCGAAGCAGCGAGTCGAAGCACCGGCCTGCCGGAAGCGGAAGCGTGCTTTCCAGCGTGCGTGCTAGCTGTGTCGTAGACTGCCACAGGCGGTTCGAGGCATAGGGTGTCTTCAGGTGTTAGAAGGTATGGAAACGATTGGAAAAGTAGTGGCATTGATGGGATGAGTCAGCTTAGAGGACAGTGTGACTACTTTGGAAGTATCGACCCCGAAAAGGCAACTTGCAGCAACTTTTGAACAACGACTAGAACCTAACATGTGGACCGAGTCAGAGCAATCGACCTGGAAAAGGGGAGTTTAGATGATCCAAGCATATCCTAAAAACATATCACATGTCCAGTAAATATACCCCAGACTCCATGGGACTGGTCTATTTTCATTGGGGTGATTGATTTCAGGGGTCAGCAATCTTCCACCTGTGCAACATGTCCGCCCTTTGTGCTGGTTTTATCAATGAAGTTTGGCAGACATTCTGCGTGTCTGCCGAACTTCATCTATCAAAACCAGCCAAACTTCGGATCAGACAGCCCTTCCTGTTGGATCAAACCTCCGGGTTGGACGTCCCTCTGGAGCGTCCGGACGTCCCTCCGCGCTCCGATGCGTTCCTCGGTGCGGTAGATGAGCTCACAGGACCGCTGTTTGATCGGCTGTCCAGATCTGGACCTCCCTTCCGAAGGCGGGAGTTGTGGGGGGGGGGGGGGGGGGGGTGGCTGGGAGTGAGTGGGCGCGATGTTTGGGATATTTTTGGGGGTTCCCAACATTGAATGAGTCCAAAAGATCTAAACATCATCATGGGTGTGGGCCCATCATCCTCCCACTTTTGGAGCTATAGACCCCGAAACCATTCTTGTCCATTCTCTTCGGCAGCGTCAGGCGTGTTTTTTTCTTCGTGGCGAGCTCGCTCGAGGCTTCCTGGAACGCCTCCGCGAGGGAGTTCAGGACTTCCTGCGACTGAATGGCGGACCCATGGATTGCAGGAGACCCGGGGCCCCACGATGCCCCCATGGTGCCGATGGGATTGGGGGGCTTCAAGGGTTCTTCTAAAAATGTAGGTCAATGGGGTATGGTCCCCCCTATGGTCATGGGGTTGTGGATGTGTGGCAGCCATTCTTCGGTGAAAAAAACGTGTTACACGTTGTGATGGTTTCAGACTTATTTTTTATTAAAGGCCAGACGCGAGTCTCACGAGACTGGAAGATGCCATACTGTCATGACATGACCCTGTGCAACGGTGGTAGTATCATATGTAGTATCTCACATACCTTTTGGAGTGTGTTGGCATGATCTTGGTAAGCTGGTTTTGTAAAGCTGGCTAGGAACTTCTGGTGAGTCATGTAGAAGCTCTCATGAAGATGTGAAGTTTCTAGCTTATATGAATGAAGTTACAACACATTGTATATAGTCTGTTGTGCTTGGACTCTTCCAGCCTGTCTCCCAGCGTCAGGCCCAAGGGACTCAAGTCCAGCAAGTACGACTTCGACTACTCCGAAGACTGCTGAGCACAGATCCTCGCACCTGCGCACCCCTCCCATCCCAAGTGACCAGCACGGCACAGACGTGGTCACAACGCGCCTATGTGACCTGGGACCACGACACGACCTGGTCACCGCAGCTGGACTGGTGGGGTTTCTTCAGCGTCGAATCTGCTTTGAAGCGTCGAAGATGCCGATGTTGGGAGTCTGCATCCGGGCAGATCTCGTTGGCCCTTCGGAGGCGATTTACGGTTCGCGACACGAACCGTGGGCTCCTGGCGGGCACCTGGCCGCTCTCATGAACAGAACCAGTTCTGGGACCGCGCGAGTCTCGCGACTCGAAACGGAGCGGAGCGGACGAGAGGGCCGTGATGCCGCGGACGCACCAGTGCCGAACAGACCGAGAGAGGCAGCGACGCGGTTGGCAGGCAGGAGGTTGGCAGCGACGACAAAGGCGCGGAGACCGATCCCAAGAAGAACAGCTTTCTGATGCTCTTAGTGATCAGGAAAGAGGGGACTCCTACTGTGTGTATTGAGCACCATTTTTGGGGTGAGTGTTTGGAAGCCTCATCCAGGTGTTTGATTCACTTGCAGCGAAGGCGGATGCAAAAAGATCCCAATTTGTCATGTCTTTTTTCCGTGGCGCGGCGCGCTCCCACTGCGGGAGAGTTGGATTTGTCATGCTTTCCTTGACAGGATTGTACACAATGTATGTAAAGGTTGAAAGAGTCCTTGATTTAGACTCGACCCAATGACATCTTACTACAATTTACTAATTTGTATTTCTATACCTTTGCACCTGTGTTCTGCGTGCAAGCTTGATCACTCAAAGTCAGGTGGTGTCTCCATGTCGCTTTGTAGCTACTCCCCATACTCTGGGCGCTACCAAAGACATCGAGGAAGCCGCTTGAGGTGCACCCAAAGCTAGCAATGGCGTGTCATGGCGTTTCATGGAGTTGTCTCTGAAGTATTCTGAAGTATTGTCGATCAATATAGCAGCTTGGATCAAGGTGTCAAAGGCAACAGCGAGACATGTTCTTCCAAAAAGCACATGCTAACCTGCTAACCCTGAACCAGACCAGAAACCAGCGGGAAGAATATACACCCAATCCACACCATGCCAGCCGGTTCGCAGATGTCCAACGGATCCATTCTTTGTTGCATGCGCGGCTCGTGCCTGACGTGATGCAGCATCAAACATGCGCCAACATACGCCAACGTCTGTCCCAGGGACACTAGCAACAGTCGGTGAAGGATGATCACTATGTTTTTTGAGACGTCGGCCTGCACCATCATCATCCACTGGGTCATGGTAATGGCCTATACCCAGCGCCAGCGCCATTTTTTTACAATACTTATAACAAACAAGCAGCCACCCAAAACCCAAAGACCCGACCAAAGCAACGAAGCCAGCAGATCAAACCTGCCCAACCACCAAACCTCACCCACCCAACCAACCCATCAAGCCAAACTCAACCCATCCACCCATCCAAGTTCACCAAGCTCCCCACGCCTGCCACCGGCCTCTCCGGCCATGGGCCGCTCCAGCTCCGACAGCAGCTCCGTGCGCGGCCGGGGCCGCTCCCGGAGCCGGGCGTCGCTGAGCCGCGCGTCGCGGGGCGAGGCGCGCAGCCGCAGCCGCAGTGGAAGTGCCAGGCGCAGTGGATGATGCGACGGGCAGGGACTGGATGGGTGGGGGAACCAAAGGGAGGAGCAGGGCGGGTAGGAGGAGCTGTGGCTTTTTGTGGGTAGCAGATAGGCAAGGAGTTGAGTTGACAGGATGGAGAAGGTAGGTACCCTATAAGGGATGGTAAATCGACACCGCGTAGCCTCTTTTAAGGGGCCATTGTTATTAGGCACCCCTAAACGGGGCCCTGGTTGTAATTTTGTTTGATTCTCGGGTTACCCGGGTTTGTATGTCCTTGGATGGTTTCTATAGAGTCTTTCTTGCCTATAAGAGTCAGAGTCTTTTTTTAATTAGCCGAATCATAAAAGCCTATACTAAAAGGATCTAAAAGGGACAACATGGTCATGTTTGTAAACTTCAACTCATCCAGTCCAGGTCCACCCGATCCTCGGATCATTCTCTCCCAGAACGCCGGTTCCGCGGGTTCCGCGGGTTCCCGTTCTGGCGCTCCTTCCGAGGCCTCGCGCACGTCCCATTTGCTTCAAGGTGGAGCAGCGCTTCCGAGCTTTGAGGCCACTGGGCGGAGACGGGGGCGCGTGCGGTCGGGCCGTGAATTGGGCCCAAGACGATGCGTCGGACCGGGGTTTGGAGGGTATGGACCCCTGCGTCGGACCGGGGTTTTGTAGGGTCCGAGCCCTGCGTTTCTGAGGGGGTCTTCAGATTGTTGGATTTATATGTCAGCTGTGGATTTTGCAGGGTGGACAACGATCGGGAAGGGGGTTCAGCGAGAAGGTTTGATTCTTTGTCTTATGCTAGGACCAGTTAGATATATGCCTCAAGAATCCTGAAAAGACATGAACAAAACATACCAGGTAATACCAGTTATTGTTTTGTAGGGATGTCTGTGGTTCTTGTGATAGAAATGATCGAAGCCAGTCACGTTCGATGGGGTGAAGCACCCGTGCGTCACATCCACGGCCCCTGGGATGGGCTGATCCACACCACCCCAAACGTGACTCCTGGAGGCCTTATGAACCGAACGATTTGGGACGCCAAAAGCCCCTGAGCTGTGATTCGGGGTGTCCATGGGGCCCTCACAAGGTATGACTCCTGGTAGAAGGTTTTGTGTGTTTTGTTCATTCAACGCGCGGGCTTCTATCTATGCCTGTCGTTCATGGACATGATGAACCGAGGCTTGGCTGTCGGAAACGCACGTGACGTGCACGTTTGGCCTCCTCTTGATGTGTTGGGCCTTGAATGTACATGGCATCAGCAGTACTTGCACCCTTCAAGGACCTTTGTCCAAGAATGGTTTCATTAGTGTGTTCATTCTATTTCTCATGTGCTTGAACGCCCCAAACACCTCTCAGTTTACTTCACTCCAACTCGTGGGACATCGTGTATTTGGAGCAACCCCAGAACATGGAAACTGCTCACTGCTTTCGAGGTGTTTGCTGCAGGGATGCGTATACCACTTCCATCTGACCATCATGCGACGAAGTTTCTCACGTGTTTTCACAACAGCTCACATGATTTGAACACAGAACTTGATGGAGATCAACAAGAACATTTGACGTAATAGTATTATATATATATATATATCTAGCACTTCCAATGGGTGCCCTGTCTGGAGACCTTTTTACGTAGGGTAGGGTAGTCTAGCCAGGACACCCAGACTGGATGACCCTGGTATATATACAAAAACCAAGAAAACCATCACTCACTAATTATGCTCCTGTCTCAGCTCTCTAAACACGACCGGGCAGCTCCGTGTTTTGGCGCGCGGCGCCAGGTTTCCGGAGATCCAGCGGACCCTGCGGGCTGCACGGGTGCTCGGTGGCGGTCGGTGTCGGACGTCAGACTGGGCCGTTTCAGGTTCAACATCGCCGGTCGTTAGCTTTGTGCGAGTCAAGGTCTACTGTAATCACTTAAAAGATCTAATGCACCGGACAATCATAACTGCTTCTTGCTCTTGTGAGCCTTATATCTATACGTGTGTGAGTTGATGTGTTTTTTTGTTTTTTCACCTGAAGGTGTGTTTTTCCATCCAATCCTCGCCCGAGCTGGGTGGTGCTTTGCCTCCTTCAGGGGCAATGCCATGCAATAGCTAAGATACCCTACAAGTCCAAGGTCCAAGTTAAACATGTTTAACCTGCTCCTTGACCTCATTAATCATTAAGTACTGGTTTTGCATGACCGGACCAAGTCAATTGAGGCGATTGACCTGTAGGGATACATCGTATGTCTTGTGTTCCTTGTTCATTTGGATATGCCTGGCAAGCAGTCCCCTCGCTTCCACTTCCCATTTCTGGGTAGACTGCTAGACTACATGGGATGACATCGAAATTCAGGGCAGAGATGGGCAGAGCATGTATGTTCATAAAGATTTGATCAGACGTCATGCAGTTTCTTTTTCTGCCACCGATGTGGAACCCGCAACAGCCAATGCCCAAACCCATTTACCCATGGAGCCCGTCGAGTTGGCTTCAAGCATTTGTTTTGGAAACAAAGTGTCACTTGAACATGAGCGAGTCTTTCCATCTGCCAGTAAGCTCCAGGCCTGTGCCATCGGTGAAATATTGGACGTCCGAAATGAACCGAAATGTGTGCAGACCCCGGTATGAGATCCTCCGCGCTTGGTCCTCTCAAATGCCGGTCACCATGACTCTAGAAAATGCCCAGCAAGTGATCCCAGTTGGCACAGCACGCAGCTTGGTATGTGGAGTCTTCAGTGCAGACGCCTCCCAGTCTCGTGCTTTTCTGACCGCGTCGCGGGCCTCGCGGGTCACCGCGTTGACCGCGAGGCCTTGCGGGCGCGCGCCGGTGGGCTTGGGCTCATCACTTACAGCAAGCAGGCGGAGCGATGTCGAGCGAGTCGGAGCATCGAAGCCTCACCGATGAAAGGGGGGGGTTAACATGGTTAACGGGCGCTTTCCACCAAGACCGAGACCAAGCACGGTGGTTTTGGGGATTAAGAGGCTAAACATTTGACACCTCTGTGTTCGGGTCCTGGTACGTGTTTCTTTTTTGGGGCAGGGCGTGACCGAAGGGCAAGGGCCTTCCCGGCGGCTCGGGATGGCTCGGGTCTTGGATCGGGGTGGAGGAAGGAGACGACGGCAGACCCGGTCTTTTCTGTGTTTGAATAAGGAGACACCCAACCAATGGGTGTTGGTATGTATACGTTTGGGTCTATTTATCTTTCTTCCAGGGGGTCGAACTGGGAGGTCGCCGCAGCTCTGCCGGTGTGATTTGTGTGGAAGGCCCAGCACTTGGTGCTCTCCAAGGGGTCGGATGTACGCGCTGGTGTCGTTGGGTCCTCTTTATTAAATTACAGGCCCATATGTCTGCTGTGTTCGTCCCTTAGCGAAACGAAAGACCCCTGGCATCCGGTCGGATGGGGGGCCTTCAGTGCTGAGCCTTGCACTTAGACGACTCGAAGTCGTTTTTGCTTCTGTGCTCTCAACCCACTCGATGTGCTAACTTGCAATGGGTTTCAGATTTGCTTCGGAAAGAGAGAACAACAACCACAACGAACACCAACAAAAGGTCATAAGTCGGCCTCCGACGGGACCAATGACACCGGTGGGTCCTGTATAGTACCTGGGTGTTCTTCACCGTTGGAACAGGTGAAGCCGACGTGGGGAGCGAGGGAGGCGACACGTTCGAAAGATTTGGGGTCACCCAATGCGATCAGTGGGACAGCCTTGCTGAGAAAAGGCCAGGGTGGTTGACTTCAGGTGTCAATGTAGGCATATGTGACATTGGTGCCAGTCCAATGGTTGGTCTGGGTGATATACAGTAGCTTCTCCCAGCCAATTGCTCTTGGTCTGCTTTCGCTCGGCTTTTCTCGGACAGATTGGCATTTGAGACCACCCATTTGATCACGTTGCAACCCCCTGTAGTCCACCACCATCCTCAACATGTGCGATGCCAGGGGTGAGCCGCCCATGACATGAAACTTCACTCAGAATCTTTCCAGAAATCTTGAAGGACGCAGATCAATGCATGATGAATGAGCCCATGGGTGTATGTAGTAAATGTACACCCCTGCAGATGTTCTACGGGTGAATTCTCAGGTTCCGTGTTAGTTTGCGGGGGGGGTACACGGGGTACACTGGGACAAACATGGGTTCGTGTTTTACACCTCTTTGGTCTTCGGAAAAATCCCAGTCTTTCCAGGGGCCATGCACTCACGGCTTTTTGCCCTCCATGTAAGCATGATGGTTTCAGGATGTTTCAGGGATTGGGTGGTGGGTTTCAGAGACGGTTGTTTCAACCTTGGGATGAGGAAGAAACCACTCACTAATACTGCCAGTATCATTCAAACGAGTGGAAACCACCAACCAGTCAAACCTGCGCAGACCCCACTCCCTTCCAGCGCCTTCTTCTCGGCAGTGCAGGGCTGTCACTTAGATCCACCAGAGGGAGAGCCTTGGCCAGGGGTTCCCAGTGTCACACGCTTCCGCATCTATGCCAGGCCCCCAAACAAGTCTAAAAATAGCCCCATAGAGGTTGAGCGGTGTCCATTAACCACCCCACTCAACTGTAGGCCGGAACCATGACCTACATGGAGCATGGGAGAATAGGACGACCTTTAAGAATACCCTTTTGTTGAAACCTGAAATTCCTGGAAGGGTCTGTTCTAGCCGATTCAAGCCCTTGGCCGATTCAAGCCGCCACCTCAAAAAATCAGAGGCTCTGCTAGGTAGTATAGCCTGCTTGTGTGCTTCTTGCAACGTGAACTTCTTGACAATGGTTGAAACATGTTAAAACCATGCGCCTGTGATCTGACTGTGTGACGATCCATGTCCCTCCATGTCCCATGTGTTTAACATTATATGGGTACTGGATGCTAGACTGGTCTATTTCCAGTCGTCTCCCCATTGTGAGCCACACACCCATTCGGGACCTCTCTTCTAAGCTGCTTTGGCAGGAGTTGTTTTGTAAGTTGACATGCGATTTTCCTGTAACTCAATGGATCTCTTGGCAGAAGGAAGATGTGTTTTTTACCGGCTTGCGAAGCAGCAAAGACAAAAGACAGGCATGTTTCATTTCTCATGACTCATCCCCTAATGAGACGCAGCGCAATCAAAGCAATCAAGCCCCCTTGGAATCAGCAAAGTCGCACCTGCTTGGGAAGTTGGCTTCTGACACCGCAAATTCTTGGTAAAAGGATAAAAAGGATCAAAACACCATTCAACGCCTGTTTTGGTGTGTCTAAAGCCATCCAAATGTAAGAACCTCTTCTTCTTCTTCTTCACGCGTGGGTCCCTTCGACCAAACGGCACGTCACTCGGGCGCCGTTCTTCGCCACCGGCGTGACGCCGTACACGCCGGGAACGCCGTACGCCACGGCGTACGAGTGAGGCCTGCTCCAGATCAAGAGGATCACTCCGACCGCCTGGTCCTCAAGTGTGACGGTGACGGTGACCGGTTTTTCTTCACGCGCTGCGCAAGGTCCTGAAGGCCGGCGCTGCGAGCCAGCTGTCGGCCTCAAAACACCACATGCAAGTCCTCAAACCCCGCTTGGGTGTATAGCTGGTAACCAGTGGGTTCCAAAGACTAAAACCATAGACCGAACGAATCCCTGTTCCTTATAAAGCGGTAACTGGGATGCACTGGGTTGGTTCTCTTTACTACCTATACGGTGGCAGACATATCAGTAGACACAGTCTTCCAGAGTTTTAACAACTCAGGGACACTGTTTTCTGGTTTGTTTTGCAGATGTTCCATCAAATTCATTCAGTCTCTGTCCCATCAATTGCTTGCTGTTGAAAGATGTTGGAAGAACTTTCCAGTACCTGAGATTCTCAAGTACGTACATCTACAGACGCCACGTTTGTACTGAAAAACCCACCGGATCCCAGGTGGGCGACCCTTTCAATTCATGTACCAAAAACTCAATGACATCTCCTGACTCAGCTTCTCCTGAAGCGTTTGGGAATGGCTGGCGAACCCGAACCCGCCGGCGTCGCCCCGAACCCGCCCGAAACCGCCCAGGCGGTCAGGATGAGGTGGGGAGTCCTGGGAGACCGGCCTCGGTGACCTAACGTGACACCGGTGGCTTCGGTGCCACGGTCCTGACGTGTGGGGGGGTGACTCGAACGAACGAGCAGGGGGGACGCAAGGGGACGTTGGCGGATATTGCTTTGTGCGATGTTGAACATCTCATCCCGAGTGAATGAATCGGTTGACCCCTAGGGCCCTAGGGCTCCAACCATATCCTCAGGTGGTTAGAGGTACATCTGCCATAGATAGGTGTCTAATCTATTTGCACCACCTTCGGAAGCGAATTGCAGCATAGACGGCCCAAAGAGAAGAGCAGACGGTCCACAAAACCCGACACGGCTGCTGGGACTGGGCAATATATGCGATTGACTATCCCGTATTATGCATCCAACAACCATGGATTTCATGTTTATTTTTTTCCGAGTATATTATAACCATTGTTTTGTTGAGGAATTTACACTACAACAACAGGTCAACCATTCTATTAAAGGTCTTGGAAGGCGACAGGTTATTATTGACCCTAAGATCAAGCACCTCATGTTGATGGATATGTGACAGTCCCAATGGAGTGACCTGGGCAGGCAGTGGAGAAAAAAACAACACATGTCGATTCAAGATCCCTTAAAGTCATGCTTAAGTTTGCTTTGTTGAAATCAAGCGCTCGGATGCCTCTCATATCCCAGAGTCCAAGTTGTTCTTTTCAGAGGACATCCCCCATCAATGGCAGTACATGTCTTGAATGAAAACAACGGCTACTTGGTGCATCAGGTCGAGCTCGTTTTCTGAAAGTTGCTTCCAGCACGCTGAAATCCACTGGACAACTCCGATTGAGACTGGTTCAGGTATCGAGGAATGTCTGTCTGTTTGTCAGCCATTTCTGCGAGGTATATCCCTAGGGCTCCAGTCGTCCCTCCTCAGAAGGTATGACTGGACCCTCAAAAGCCAACCCAGTCCCACCTTCTCAGAAGGTACTTGGAGGCCTAGGGTATATTTAACAAACTTTAATGCCCTGTGGATCCCAGCGCAGCCACATTAGAAGGAACAAATGTTTCGAAAGGTCTACGCATGATCCTTCGAACTGGAACCACTGGTGACCTACGATTAGTGGTTTGCCCGGGATCCACCGGTAGACACCTCTCCAAAACGTCGTTTCACTAGGGCTTCCCAGATTTTCATGCATGCCATGCGCTATCTAGCTATCTCTTCATTCTGCAGTATAAGAAAATGTCACCATCCACATGTGCTTGTTTACATAGTGGTGGGACCTAATTATCCACCATCTAGACACTTCATGACTTCATGTATTTACTGTAAGTTCTTTTGCCTGACCCCTGAAATCAACCACTCCTGGCCTTTTCTCAGCAAATATGGCAGGCCCAGTGGCAGGCCCTCATAGTCCCACGTCGTGTTTGGGAATGGTCATTAAAAGGCAACGCCCTACATTAAGTCAATGAGCCCATTTTACTGGAGTTGTCCATACAAAAATCGCTACTTACGGAGGTAACATACCAGTTTTTACTGGGTCAAACTGGACGTACGTAGGGAGAGAATCCTTGCACCTAAGGCGCCCAAAGCTGATGCGCCCGAAGCAGGCGGGGTATGAAGTCGTCGATCCCGAACTTGGTGGTCTTAGCCACAACGTTCCATGTGCCGGTCCTTCAGTCGGCCAGAGTCGCGGACATTAAAAAAAAGAAGCCAATGGGTGATGAGGTGAACGATGGTAAATTCATGTGAACTTATCATGTGCAGATTTGATGCAGATATGAAAGGGCACACCCTTCCATATGGTCGGTGCTCGTTGGTGAGTATGGGGGCTGATGACTGAGGGCCAGCTGCATCAAACACCCTCAAGAAAGGAACATATCCATGTTGGTCGTCCTGGTTTTGCTTAAGGTGATGTTTTCACTTTCCCTATGGTTAGATCCCCTTCTGGTGAATCTGTTGATATATGTTTTTTTTAATTGGTCCAGGTTTCTTAAGCAAATCCAAGTCATGCCCCGTGACAGTTTCAATTCAGGCTTGAGACAGTTGTTGTGATAGTTGTTGCAAGAGCTTTGTGGTTGTTTTTATTATGGTTGTTCACTTCTTCTCCTCTACCTACTGTGTGTGAAAGAACAAAGGTTCGGCCGCAAAAGTGGCAAGAAAGTAAGTCTGTGTATGAAACGAGGCCCGCAAAAGGTTGAATTCACAAGAAAGCAGCGTGACATAGAAGATTCGAACACCACCATCAAGCAGGTTTTCGACGCTCAGTTGACCCTGTCGAGTAGGAGAAGGCTTGCCTCCAACGAACCAAGGTGTCATGGTGCAAAGGGACCCGAGAGTATAGAGGTGCCATTTTATGGAGTTGCCCTTGAATATCAGGTGAATCAAGATGAACCCGTTTTTTGTGGGTTTCGGGATGCCTGCTGTATAAACATGTATAAATTGAGGTGGACAATGGTGGACAAAGGGTACAAGCCTTTGATCCAGTTGTACCCTCGACACCATGGTGAAGTTATCAAGCTTTGCCGCAGACATTGGCTCCAGAAGATTTTCGATAGATGCTAGGTGTTTGTTTGCTTGATCCATCTACTATAGTCACTGTACAAACCAGTACAACACCTACATCATCCCCGATTGCAATTGGGTGGTCTATGTTTTGTTTATTCAACGGCTACAAGCGGCTACAACAATTTCAGAATGTCACTATCCATTGATCGGCCTTGAATTAGTCAAACTCCGGGAGGCAAAGTAAACCGCCATTAGTCCAAGTCTGTTTGATGTATTTCTTCCAATCTGTTGAATGGCATTCCAGCTGCGTCTCATGTTTGTGCTAACCCACCAGAAAAATGCTTAGGGCTTAGGTTTCTCCACTTGTGACATGGACACTGCATGAAGATCAGAACATGGAGGGGTGGGGGGTGGGGTGGGGCCAACAAGAATAGAGCTGCTCTCGGTACATTTGCAGTTGAGACTCGACCCCAACGTCGAGACTCGACCTTTTGGTTTCTCTAAGGCCATGGGTGGCCTCAGTTTTGTGGGCGTGCTGAGTTTATCGTACGTGTTGTAGTTGCAAGTTGGCAAGCTTGCGGACATTGGAGAACTTCCGGCCAGTCTTAAGAACTTTGTTGTTGCTGCTGCTGCTGCCGCCTATTTTTTGCTTTTTGGGCACGTGTCAACCTTGAAATGCATTCGCTCCAGGTAATCTACAAAGCCTTAAAAAAAAAAAAAAAACACACACATAACACATACAGAACACAACATATATACATGTACTCGAAGCCTGCAGAAGGATCGCACCGAAAAGGGGACCCCATGCTTGACCAGAACATGCTGTATACGGATGGCACGAAAGAACCGAACCACAGCCCGACTGGTCACTCTGCCAGCCCTGGCCCTATAGGGGTGAGACCCCAGGGGCGGAACGGGTCATGTCTGGGTACCTCCCAAGACTTCCGTTCAAGCATGAAAAAGATGGGAACGACCTGGTATTGTAGTGTAAAATCCTTTAGTTGATTCGGTATTAAGGCTATTACATGAATGGTGGGCCAGGAAGTCTACTGAGAATTCCACGAATTCGGAGGGAAACACCCGAAAGCTGTGTGAGGGGCATCCACCGTTCCGGGCTGCGTTCGGCCATTTGGGCTGGAACCCGGTCTGGCAACGTTCACGCGTCAGGGTTTTCTGGCAACTCCAAACCCTCGATAAAGGTCTGTATCCCTACAGCTCCTGGCCCACCTCCTGAGGTTCGGTGGTTGGGGTGGGTGCCAGGGGGGTCGAATACCACCGAACCTGAGGATATGGTTGAAAACAGGCAGTCGTAGTCGTAGGTACACCCCCCTCCCACCAGTCCCGAAAGGAAGAGAGCTCGACTTGAGCCCGACTAGTTGGGACCATGCAACTGGGGTATTTTATGGGTGTCCTGTCTGGAGATCTCTAAGTACTACAGTAGCAGGGCAGGGTCATTAGTCTGGACACCCTGGCAGGATGGTCACGGTCTGGTTGCCTCCAACGATTGAGAGACCAAACCTCCACGGTTAGCGAGGTTTGGCTGGCTTTGGGGCGGAACGACATCGGGTGATATAAGGTTATAATATGGTGATACTTAGGGTCTGTCCTATTACCTGTAACCGTCAGTAAACAATTATTGCTATTTTTGGAGAAGGCCTTTACTAACCACCATCATCATCATCCACTGTTACAGGTAATTATTAGGATAGACCCAAGGTGATACTACATCTTTTCCGAAGTCAGTGAATCCACTAGCATGGGGATTTACTTAAAGTATTCCTGGTTCCTTAAGCAAATCCACTGGCATTGAGTCCCAGCATGTGAGTTTGCTGCCTGAATCTGGTGCAAATGGCATTCACATTCACCGCCGGCAATTTTCATACGGTGCTTCTTCGAAGTGATGGCGCTGCTGTCACTTGTGGAATGAATTCTGTTGGGCAATGCACAATTCCACCTTTGAAGGAAGGGATGTCATACAACCAGGTTGCTGCAGGCTGTTTTCATACTGTGCTTCTTCGAAGCGATGGAGATGTTGTGGCTTGTGGATCGAACAGTGATGGCCAATGTGATATTCCACCTTTGGAGGAAGGAATCTCTTACACCCAGGTTTCTGCAGGTGGTTCTCATACAGTGCTTCTTCGAAGCGATGGAAATGCGGTGGCTTGTGGATCGAACAGTGATGGACAATGTGACATTCCAGCTTTGGAGAAAGGAAT